TTTGATATTTGGCAATATTTAAATCAACTAAATTTTTAAACAATAAATCACAAAATTTTGTGATTTATTGTTTAAAAAAAATTAAGTTGATTTAAAAAATGTACTCAGTTAAGGAGAAAAGAGCAATAATAAAAATGTTTTATTCATGTTTTATTGTAACATTTGTTATATTGTTATGTTTAGAAATTATCATAAATTATTTTTAGGAATAAAGATCACAGTAACAGTATATTGGAATTGATTGAATTGTTGTATAACTTAACATGGAATTAAATTTTAGTGTATTAGAATATCTTACGTTAAATAAAGATCCGGTAGTGGCAGGAAAAGGTTCGCGCTATTGCCTGAATACAATATTATGCGATTTTTCGTCAACTGAGTACATTTCATTATATTATCGATTTGTAAACAATATAATTTATTGTTCACAAAGTAATATTTGTTGTTCAGTAGTATTAGTATTTAGTAAAATTCATTGTTTATAATTTAATCATAAAATAAAAAAATTGACAATTCAAATTGTCAAACATCTGACATTAATATGATAAAACACACACGTCATAATATATATTCTTGCATTACGTGTGGCCTAACTTTTAGGGGTGGCCTGAAAAATGTATTATATTTTTACAAAATTTTGAAGTACATTTGATTCGTAGAACGGTTTTAACATTTGTTTTTAATGCAGATTTTAGTGCTCTACAAATAGTTTCCCATGACTTTTGGTGTAAAATAATTAGGGAAGCAGCAATTCAACAATTTAAAATTTCCCATTGAGTTTCCTATGGCCCGTTTGACGATTCACCACCCGGTATATATATATAATATATATATATATATATATATATATAATATATATATATAGATATATAATACATATAATACATTTTTCAGTATATATATATATATATATATATATATATATATATATATATATTATATATATATATATATATAATACATATAATACATTTACAGTATATATATATATATATATATATATTTATATATATATATATATATATATATAATATATATATATATATATATGTATTTATATATAGATATATATATTATATATATATATATATATATGTATATATATATATATATATATATATATATATATATATATATTTATATATATATATATATATATACGTTTTTTTTCCTTAAGGGCGAGCGCCCACCAAAGTGGCGTGGCAATGGCAAGTAGCAAGTAGCACGCGTCTAGCATAATGTAACCAATCCAAACGAATGATTAGAATGAATGACGTCACTGTCATTTTGGTGTAAACTGAATCATTCGTTTTCATTGGTTACATTATGCTAGACGCGTGCTACTTGCTACTTGCCACTTCCACGCCACTTTGGTGGGCGCTCGCCCTTAGCCTTCTCGCATGTTTCAAACAATTACAGTATATTTAGCATATACGTCATTTTCTACAGCCCATGTTATGCAGGTATTGAAACAATTAAGTGCTGTATCTGGTTTACTCCTACAGTTGCAGAAATTGGTGGCTTTAATATTACAATTAGGCTTTCTTCTTGTGCTGCTTCAGATATTCCTTCATCTATCAAAATTTACTCTGTTTTTTTTTTGGTTGTTTAATTGTCTTTCTGATAAATATTTAAACAAATCAGCAATAAGTAGATTATGTTCAGGGTCACATTTTTCTCTTTCTTGTGATACAACATTCAATGTAGGCTATAGCCTTTTCTATAATGATTTTTTAAGTCAGGTTAAACAGACCTCCATGCATGAGCGAAATAAATACATCCTGTAAGTTATAATATGGATTAGTAATTTATTTTTAAAGGTGAACAATACAATAAAGGTGAACAGTTTGATGGCAGGGACATGATTTAGATATTCCCATAACTTGGCCTGGAGCGTTTTTAAGTGCCAGTTAAGCTTTTATATGCACGTTGGATATTTTCGTAAACTTATTATTTTCTGGAATAAAGTCTGTATGGAACCATTCAGTAAATACTTTTCTCGTGGTCCAACTTTTAAACTGATTCTTGATTTTCTCGTTCAGCAAACTGACAGATATATTATTTTTTAATAGTTTCGATATTTTAACGTTAACAATCATTAACAAGATTCAATTTATGTATTCCTATAGCATTTGCAAGTGACATTTGAACACGACATACATATTCTCTATCTTTAATCACCCTAAGACCTGGTACGTGTTCTTCTTTAGGGGATACAAATGTTTTGTTAGGCAATATTCTCCCAAACAGATCACTCTCGTCTGCATTATAGATTTTGTCATAATGAAGAACGAGTTCTTCCACTTTGTCCTTACAGTGATAGTTAAATGGCTACCCTGCAGATTCGTTACGTAACAATTTTTCACCGGATATAGTTGACAGACGGATATCAAGTCGCTTTTTAAATTTATCCAGCCACCCAACACTGGCACAAAAATAATATATTTCTTTATAATTGACTTTTTATAAAATTTGATTGCTTTTACTTTTAGAATTTTTTTAGATACAGGAATGCGCTTAGAATGCTCTTACCACACTTACACTCTTCTCTGAACTATATGTATAGAAGTTTTTTCATTTTTGAACATTCATTCACTTTTAATATTTTACTCTTTCCTGGATTACTCTATATCACCATCATTATGACTTCACAACCCTGCGTGGGTCCTAGCCTCCTCAAGGATTTTCTCTAGTCGTCCCTATCTATCGCCCTTATCCGCTAAGCACGTATTTCCACGCTGCGCTTTGGACGCTGGTTTATGAAAACCTTTGATGTTATTATATCCCTAGTTTTCATCATGGATATAAGAGGAAAATGAAAAGTATATAATTTTCATCCATGTAAATTATGACCAGATTCTCTTCCCTATAATGGTTATTAATTCTATGAACATTTCTCCGAAACAATTGTATATCAGCTTTTTCCGTTAGAATTTTCCTGTTATTCTTCGCTTTCCTCCATCGAAACCTCAGATCCCTCATTAATTTTCTCTGTTTCATGTTACCCTGTATAAATATTGTCTTCGTTAAATTTTCTTGTTGTATCGCAAGGTAGGAATTTTTTTTTTTACTATAAAAATTTATTATTTTACGACAAAGTAAACTTCTGTCAAAATCATCAAAGTTGGATTTTGGGACAGACTTCCTTCTTTTGTTTTGTTCTTTTTTGTTGTTCTTCTATATTTCCCATTTCACGAGAGGTACGTTTTATGGTACTTAAACTTACTCCCGGTGCTAAGGCAACACGCTCCTGTACTTTTTAACATACTGATTTTGTACTGCTTTTCACTACATAAAAACAAATACATTTTCTATCCTTCCCTCGTTCGTTCAGACAAGACTTTGGTGTAATTTAAAAAGTTAAATTAAACCACGGCTCAGAATATAACAAGCCTCAAATAACAAGGCAAGCGTTTTACGACCAATTATAACAAATAGTAGATCAAGTCAGAGAAAAGATGATAATATTGGGGGATTTTAACGCTTGAATAGGCAACCAAGTTATATCCGGCATCAAACAAAAACGATAATGAGGCAAGTGCAACAGAAATCATTAGAATGCAAAAAAAAACGGCATATTTATGTTTCATGAACCTTATAAAGGCATTTGACCGGGTCAAATTAAAAGACGTTATCCACTTACTGTATGCAAGAGAGATACCTCTAGGAATAATCAAAATGATCGAAAATATCTACCAAAACAACACAATAAAAGTAAAAGTAGATGAAGAACTAACCGACTCTATTGAAGCTGGCAATGGGATAAGACAGGGAGATTCCCTAAGTCCTCTATTGTTCAACCTGCTTATGGATGAAATAATAAAAAAAAGTAAGAACTAAAAAACGATACCAAATGGGAGAAAAACAACTTAAAATAATCTGCTATGCAGACGACGCAATACTACTCTCTCAAAGTTAAGATGATTTACAACGTATGCTGCACCAATTTAATATAACGGCCAGAAAATTTAACATGTTAATTTCTCCAACAAAGACAAAATGCATGGTTACAACAGCAAATTTACTAAGATGTAAATTGGAGCTGGAAGGTCAGATAATAGATCAAGTGATGGAGTTTAAATATCTAGGCAGAACATTATCTAGCTACCAAAAGCTCGAAACCAAAGTGGAATATCAAGCGAATAGAGCAAACAGAGCCACAGGCTGCCTAAATGAAACAATATGGAGAAATAAAAATATCGGGAAAGAAACGAAAGGCAGAATTTACAAAACAGTCATCAGACCAATATGACATACGCGGCAGAAACAAGACCTGACACAGAGAGGACAAAAGGATGTTAAAAACAGCAGAGATGAAAACACTTGAATGTAAGAGACTATGGAACAGAGTTAGATGTACAGATATACGACATAGATAAGAACAGTAAAAAATAGAAGAGTAGAATGGAACGTTCATATAAGCCGAATGACAACAAACAGAGTAGTAAAGACGGCAAGAGACGGTTCCCCAATAGGAAGACGATCAGTAGGAAGACCACGAAAACGATGGAATGACAACTTACTGGAGGTACATTGAAAAACAGACAGTCATGTCTACATAAAAAGAAGAAGAAAAAGATAAAAGAAATTAAACCACAATAACAGTGCTTCTAACACAAGCAAAAGAAAAAACAATATTTTTGTCGCAAACTAAAGACACAGCTCGCTTTCAGCGATCACGAAATAATAATGATGAATTTTGTTGCTGCCTACTGCGTATCGAAGGTAGAGCTTAATATCAAAAAGACTTAAGTCTTAAACTATATTTGATGATTAGTACTGAAATATTCTGTACCTCGCTAGTTACGTTTCTGCCTGCCCTCTTAGAAATTACTTGCAACGTCTAGTACAAAGATCCCCAGATTTTACGTATTGTTTCCTTTCGTTCTTCATGTATTTCGGTATAATGATTTTCTTTTCTAATTTACCAATTTATTTATTTACAATAAAAAACCTAAAACACTCGTAAATATAGTTATGTTTTTGGTTATCTTTTTCAGGTGAATAAAAAGTCGGGAAATGTAAACAGCGATTTAGTTGTAACTCGAACTGAAATTCCAACACGACCTGTCGACGGATCCAAAGGTCCTGAACAGGCGAGAATAGCTCAATTAGAACAAAATATTAAATTTCTACAAGAACAACATCAGCTCATGCTTACAGGTCTACACAACGAAATTGAAAACTTGAAGACTAGAAACAGAGGTGAGTTGTAGTAAATTGTATCTAAATGACTTACGAATTATTTAGTTTAAATAAAAAGTACTGCATCTCGCGAAAATATTTTATTTTATGTATCAGATATAAGAATATCTCGTAAATGTTAAAATTAGTAAAATAAAACAACAATTTTGTTTAACATAATATTTTCAGTTTGTTTTCATATACTTTATTTGTCGTGGACTCTCATAGCCGCTACCTGCAAGAAAATCGTGGCTTTATCGTCCAATCCAATTAAAAACATTGTACCTATATCGGAAAGAATACTCTTCCTTCAACTTAATACCAACCCAATTACATCTAACATTATCCAGGTATATGCCCTACAGCTGACAAACCGGACGAGATAAGTGAAGCATTTTATAACGAACTATCGAACACCTCAAAACGCCTCTCCAGAAAGGATTTAACTTTGATTATGGGTGATCTAAATGCCAAAATTATTAGGGGACAATCGGAAGAATTCAGAGGACAATTTGGACTTGGAGAAAGAAATAGGCGAGGAGGCCGACTGGGTGAATTTGTAGCAGAAAAAGAGTTTGTAAGTTTGTGATTACTAACACTTACTTCAAACTCCAAACAGAAGATTATATACATGGAAATCACCTCAAGATACTCCAAGTCGCATAGTGAGAACTCAAATAGATTACATTCTGATTATTAAAAGATTCCAGAACAGCATAACATCAGTCAATACATACCCAGGAGCTGATATCAAATCAGACCATAACGCATTGATTGACAAAATTAGGCTCAGGCTAAAGAAGGTTAGACGTAGTGTCAATCCAAAATTCGACATCAACCTATTAAAAGACCAACACGCAGAACACAGTATAAAGCGGTATATACAGAACAATTTGAATATCGTTATTCAATCGGATGTAATGGACCAGGAGCTACAAAAGTTACAAACATTTTCAAAAGACATACGAGAGAAATTTTTCAAACCACCAAAAATAAAGAAGAAATGTGGATGACAAATGAGATTCTAGATATGATGGAAGAGATACAAAAGAATCGATAAAAAGATCAAAAAAAGCTATTAGAATAGCTAAGGATACACATCTAAGAAAACAGTGTGCGGAAATACAGCAATTGCAACATAAACAAGATTCATTTAATATGCACAAAAAAGTTAAAGAAGCCGCAGGCTTATACAAACCTAGAAGAGTTGGGTGTTTGGCAGGTAACCAAGGCAAACCACTGTTAACTGTGGAAGAAAAACTAGACAGTTGGAAGAATTATGTGGAAGTAACTTTTGCAGATGAAAGGCAGAATACCATTGAAGACACTGAATGCCAAAGAGGACCTCCGATTACCATTGAAGAAGTCACGTCAGCTATTAAAAGAACTAAAGATGGTAAAGCGGTAGGGCCTGGCGAGTTTTGTGCAGAATTCCTAAAACTTATGAATGAACAGGGAATAAAATGGATAACAACTGTATTCAACAACATATACGTAACTGGAAAAATACCCCAAAGCTGGTTAAAGTCGACCTTCGTGACCATACCAAAAAAAGTAAATGCCAAGACATGCGAAGACTACAGAACAATTAGCCTAATGAGCCACTTACTTTAAACGTTCTTGAAAGTGATACACGGCAAAATATATAAAAAATGCGAAGAACAAGTATCATGGACGCAGTTTGGATTCCGCGATTCCTTAGGCACACGAGAAGCTCTATTCGCTGTCCAAGGGCTTATGCAAAGATGCAGGGATGTTAACTGTGATGTGTATACTTGTTTTATCGACTACAAAAAGGCATTTGATAGAGTAAAGCATGATAAACTTATAAACATCTTGAAAGAAGTGGGGTTATATGATAGGGACTTGAGAATCATCTATAATTTATATTACAAGCAAACAGTCAATATTAAAGTGGATGACCAATTGACAGAGGCAGTCTCCATAGATAGAGGAGTGAGGCAAGGATGCATTCTGTCCCCGGTGTTATTTAATATATACTCTGAATATATCTTCGAGCAAGCGCTAAGAGAATTACAAGAAGGCGTATTAGTCAACGGAATGCGTCTAAACAACATTAGATATGCCGACGACGCAGTAGTTTTTGCAGATAGTCTGGACGGTTTGCAAAGAATAATGGCGCGTAATCTTAATACTAAGAAAACAAAGTACATGGTAGTCAGTAAGCGCGAAATATTAAATACACAGCTTTTGGTTAACCAGCATCCAATTGACAGAGTGGACAGCTACACATACCTTGGTACCAACATTAACAGCCAATGAAATCACTCCAGTGAAATAAAACAACGCATAGAAAAAGCGAGATAAAGATGAAGTCTCTTTTCAGAAGTCACGATTTACCACTTGCTACCAAAATCTCTCTCATTAGATGCTTCTTTCCGAAGCTTCTTTAAGAAAACTCGAGGCATTCGAGATGTGGTGTTACAGATGTATTTTGAGAATTTTGTAGGTGAATCGTGTGACTAATGTTGAGGTCCTACGTAGAATAGGTAAGAAATGCGAGATTATTAACACCATCAACGAGTGCAAACTAGAATATATTGGCCATGTTATAAGGAATGAACAGAGATACGGCTTGTTGCAACTCATTATTCAGGGCAAGGTATTTGGAAAGAGAGGGCCAGGGAGAAGAATAATATCTTGACTTCAAAACCTGAGAAAATAGTAAACCGGACTATTCAGAATAGTAGCAAGCAAAGTTAGGATAGCCATGTTGATCGCCAACATCCGGAATGGATAGGCACCGTAAGAAGAAGAAGATCGTCCAATCCTAAAGATATTTTATACCAACCGTGTTACTAATCAGGACGTTTTAATAAGAATACAAAAAGAAAACGAGCTTTAACCACAATAAAACAGCCAAAATCGAGTACCTCGGTCATATCATGAGGAACACCGAAAGATATAGATAAAGATAAAGAATCTATGTACGAGGTTTAGTGCAAATTTTTTTATGCTTCCTCTATTTTGATTTATTAAAAAATTTGTCAGTTACATTGTCGGAATAGTGCCCTAGAGGGGGGATTTAACAAAACCCCCCTGGGTGCGCCACTGCGGAGTTTTAACACAACAACCACAAATCTTTTCACAGCAGCAGAGTGCAAAGAATAGATTGCCATGGTGGTTACTAACATACGAAATTAGCAGATAGAACCTATTTTTCTTCTCAACCCATAATTGGATTTTAATGATTTTTTTACATTGTAACTATATTTCTAATTGATTACTGCATTAATGCTTTCTGAGAAATATCTGAAAACGTTTTACCTATATGCTGGGTGTTAAAATAAAGTTGTGTTTTTTCATCATATTTTAAACAGGCTGTTGACTTTATAAGAAACAGACGCTACATCTTATTAATATTTTGAGGCTTTACTCTTTCTTAACATTTTCGTAAAAAAATATCTCGATATCTCTATCTACGTAATTTTCTATTCTCCAAAATTACCGCATCAGCTCAACGGTACTATAATTTTTAAGCTATTTTTGTTTTGAATCCTTGATCGGATTTCGATGATTGTTTTGCATTGTGGGTATATTTCTGAGTTATTTGTGTATTAACGTTTTCTGAGAAATGACAACGTTTTACCCTTATATAGAGTGTAAAAAAAAGTTCTGTTTTTTGATCTTGTTTTAAAACACCCTGTGGAATTTATTAGAAACAAAGGCTACATATTATTCATATTATGAGATAGCTTCTTTTGTCAAAATTTTTGCAAAAAAAGAATCGTCTCATTAATGGAAGCAGTTACACTGGCAATATTGTTTACATAAATTGTTTTTCTGCTTTTCGTATGTTAGATGACATGGACCGTATTTCAAGAAATATGAACCGAGATGAACGTATACAGGCAATTACTTTAGCTTATGTAGGGTTAAGTTATCGTGAAATAGGCTTGAGGTTAAGAGTATCCCATACTACAACATCGCAAGTCACTTAAAGTTTTCTAGAAACAAACGACCATACGAGACGGCGTGCACAAGGAAGAGAAAGGCTCATAACACTACGCCAATATCTGTTTATCCGTGAGCACCAGCTTTAAACATAAATCATCGTAGAAGTAAATTACAATTTGCCAGAGAGCACTTTGACTGGAATGTTGATGGCTGGGTGAACGTTTTATTCATATATGAATGTAGGTATTGCTTATATAGTTAGGATAAACGTGTGAGAGTTATTCGACTGCCAAGAGAACGTTATGCACAGTGCAACATACGACCTATTACTTTATTCAATGAAGAATCTGTAATGCTTTGAGAAGGAATATCTCTTAAAGCGTGAACGGACCTTGTTGCTTTACGTAGAGGTTCCTTAACACGTGAAGGGTATATTACAGACATTTTGTCTAACCATGTAGTTCCATTTGCTTATTACATAGTAAACATTTTCTTTTAATGCTCGATCACATGTTGCACGTTTGGTCCAAGATTGTTTTGACGAGAGTTTAATACAAACCATGAACTGGCCAATCTGCAGCCCTGATCTAAATCCCATAGATAATTGTTGAGATGTTATTGATCACCAACTTGTTGCTGTAACTTGAAGTATTTAAAAATAGAGGAGGAAAAACTCGTTATTACGTGTTTTTAGGAAAGAGAATTATTAAAGCTTAGGTTATATTTTCTTAGGCTGTAGTTTATATTAAATATCAATAATCATTATATAAGTAGGGATTTCTTTGGTTTAAATGTCAATAAAACCTTGTTACATTTAAAGTTCTGCATAGTTTTTGATAATAAAGAAATCGAGATAATTTTTTTATGAAACTCTTGAGAAAGGATAAAGCTCGAAATTTGAAATATTGATAAGATGTAGCGCTTGTTTCTACTAAATTCCACAGGGTGTTGCAAAATACATCATTCCTAACTCAAGAATGGCTTTAGCGATTTTAATTATATTTTGTATTTTGGATTCGTCTCAGCCCTGAATAGCAGAAAAACCAATCAGATATAGTAAAACTTTACGAAAAAAAGAGATAATCTTGATCTTAGGGCTATTTTTTAGGCGTTGGTCATACTTCAACAAATGTCAATATTAAATGAATTTCAAAGTAGCAAGCAAGGCGAAGCGGTTCTTAATCATTCGGATGTATTTTTTACTAATGCTCTTGGTTGCCTTTACACAATTTATTCGATAAAATGGACGTAGGTCAATATTGTTTCAATTACTTCAAACTATGAAAGATGTTATATGTCTATCATTTAGTGCAGCATGTCAAGATCTCAATTTGCTTAAAAACGGTAATCATTTGAGGTGAAATGTAGTACAAGTACAAAGATGACATGTCAAATAACATTTTACATCGATATCGTGTCATTTCAAGGTATCTTAATCTAGAGGGGAATGAGGAGATACATAACCAGGCTTTTCTCTTGTCCGAAGATATGTACTACATTTTGCTCCTAAAGGAGTTGTAGGCGAAAGAAAAAGGGGGATACTATTGAAAATAAGTCATCGACTAGAATAGGTCATCAGTATCTATTAAAGTTTTTATACTCATTACTCTATAGCTGATATATTTTCGACACTATCATAGTTTAGTATTAATTTTAATTGTTATATTGGTATAATTATAAAGAAGATATAAAATGTATATATGGAATATGAAATGATATCAAAAAAAGTTTAAAAAGTTTTACATTACAGGAATTTAGTTTCTTTACTCTAATTATATTTTTTTCTTTTTTAGAATTACAATTCCAGTTAGTATTTGTGAAAGGAACTGGTTTGTCATCACCTAGCTCACCCTCATCACCCGAAGATGATACTAAACATAAGGTATTTAGTTTATAGAATATTAATATAGTTACTATTTTTTTAAATAAAATATTAAATTAGTCTAGTAGAAAATTAAATTAAATTAGTCTTAGAAAAGTAACATTTCTAAACTTTATGAGTATCAAATGGTACAGAAATAATTCGAAAATAACTGCTTTGTCAGAATATGACCGTAACAATTATAGTAGTGTGTGCAGATAAAGAAAAATATATATTATAACAGTAAAACTACCCTCTGAAAGTTATGAGACAATGTGTAAAAATAAAACTCCAACTTTCTTCGGGAGCTCCCTGTTTTCGTTCCGTCTAGCTCAGACTCAGAGCAGGGTTTAGATGGGGCAAATAAAACAGAATATAAACTAATCATATTTATTTTACTTAAAAAATAAAATAAAGTTTTAAGATGAAATAAAAACAAAACAAATCCTGCCTATAACTTTATACAAATTTGAAATTGATACTTATGGCTTTATGTAGTTGATAGGATAACTTGTTGATGGCTTCAGATGCTGATTTGATGGATGAATAAGTAGATTTCTAATTAGTGAAGATATCTGGGTTCGAACCCGATGTATTTTCAAGCAGCTTGTGTTAGCGACTGCATACGTTTTCAAGATTTCCTTGCTATAGAAATAACAATTTTTTTGAAAGGACATAGCTGATGACAAGTATAACTAAATAAATATAATTATTATTAAAATAAATTAGTTAAAATGCTTTAACTAAAGATTCTACATGCATTTTAAAAATAAAGCATGGCTTGGAGGTTAAGTTATGTATAAAAAATTAATTCAAAAATAATATTCATAAAAATATCAATCAATTATCAATTGCCAATATGGAAGTATAGTCCGTCTAGAAAGTATCCGGAAAAAAGAAAGCTGAATTATAATTTTATGGTATTTATTTCTATCATTTGAAATATAAAATTTTAACAAATAATTCATTCTTTTACTTATACAACCTCCATTTAAATCTAAACACTTAACTAAACGTCCAGGTACACCCGAAACTAGGTAAAGGCCATAATTTTCGGTAATGGTGTTCCAGGCCTGTAAAACTGACCGAATCAAACTTTTATCTCGTGGCGCTGCTCGTTCCACTTCAATATCCATAAGTTCCCATAAGTTTTCAATGTGACTAAGATCTGGAGATGCCGCTGGCCACGAAATTGTTGCCAATTCATGTTCTTGTACTCAAGCTTGAGTATAAGAAGAATTATGGCACCTTGCAATATCTTGCTGAAAACGCCACTCTTCTGGATATAAAACATGAGCTGTTTCAAGAAAAAAAAAACCATTTAGGATGTCACAATATTTCGCACTATCAACAGTACCATTAACTCTACAGAGAGGTGTAGCACCACGCTGAGATATTGCTCCCCAACCATTATTTTAATAGGAAATTTGGAAATTTGAACAGAGGTGTCATTGTACGGATTTTTTTGGATTCCTTGATATGTATCCTTGCTTTACAGTGACATGCGGACAGTTTCTGCACACACTTTTATTCTTCGTAGATTTCCAGATCTGTTCTCTAATTTTCGAAACGCTAGGCGCGGATTTTGTTGTCTTAAAGCCACTAATACATTTAAATTGTTTCCGCGAATCTTACGCGGTCTACCCGAAACTGGTCTATGTCTCATATCTATGCTATTTTTTATCCTCTTTATTGTCTCATACACTACACTTTTTCCGAGTTCAGTCAATTGCACTCATTTTTTAACGTTTCGGACACCCTTTCTGTACAAATATTCCACCACTTTTCTTTTTTCTAATTGCGACAATATTTCACAAACCTTAAGTCTGTTTACAAATAACAATATTTGACAGATGGTGTTGTCATGCGATTTTGTCCATAACCTGCTATCGGCACAACCTACTTAATGCCTTACTTTTGTCTTATAATGTTACAAAAAGGAAATCTATTAAAATTAGGAAGAATATAAAATTCCGGATACTTTCTAGATGGACTATATATCAATATGTACTCAGCCCAGATAAGAGATTTAACGATATAAATAAATTTATTAGCAGAACATCGCTTTAAGGAGATGAAAAATATTTAAAAAAAGTTTAATTAAAAATCCTTTTAACAGGTATATATTTAAGAACCCAAACGGGCTAAGTTAAACAGACAAACCGTTTCGTAATCCATATTCCATCATCAGTGTCTAGGAGTACATGAATGTAGCCACTAAATATATGGGTAAAAACACGTTAACAAATAATTGATTAGATTTAGTTTACAAAATTTCTTATAATGATTTAAGATGTTAAAGTTACCGTAGGATTAGGTAACATGGCGACATATGACTCCACGTTGAAGTTGCTAGTCCTGAGACGGTGTGTCTACGAGGACTGTATGGGAGCAACTCAAAATACAGATACATTGAAGTAAAATGCCAGACGTTATAGTAGCTAACTGACAAATATGTTTTGTAACTTGAAGTGGCTCATAGTTATTTTATTATGTCTATGACATAAAATAGAATGGAGTATGTATGGCGTCTGAATAAGAGAAATAGAATTAAATTCTATGTAGAATAGGGAAATTTATTTGGACTGACCATCGTCCCAGAAATCTTCCTCTGAATCTTTTGCCCGGATCCTTTTTTCTTTTAATAAGACCTGTCCTTTAGCAAGACGATGTTAGAAATGCCTTTATTTCAACATTTTATTTTACCATTTGCACTTTTTACGTTTACAATTCCCGATATGTATTTAATAACAGAGACAAAGAGAGAGAGAGATAGAGTGAGAGAGAGGGGAGAGAGAGAGAGAGGGGAGAGAGAGAGAGGGAGAGAGAGAGAGAGGGAGATCTCGCAATTTATTGTTTCTAAATTCAACATGATACAATACAAATAAAGTACAAGATACATTTAAATAGTAATTATAAAATTTCCATAATAACGTAGCTATCAATTAGCGCAACTAATTTCCTCGGTAACACTCAGATAAAACAAACTTCTTGATTTCTCTACGGAATACAAAGATATTACCTAAGGATTTTACATGAAGTGGTAGGTAATTAAACACTTTCTTTTCAGTGTAAATGAATTATTTTTTAATTAATGTAGATCCGAAAATTGAAAGCGGAATAACTTAATTTAGACAAGTGTTGTAAAGGAATTTGTCCGAATATCCTCTTTATTATTATTTTTTTGCAAATTAATCACTCTATTTCAAGGATATAATATATGCAATGAAGTGTCAAGATCCAATTTTTCCGGGACAAAGGTCTGAATGATGTACCAAAATTGACCTTGCATAAATATCTGAGTGCTCTCTTTTGTAGCATAAACAGTCTGCGGAAATGATGAAATGAACAGATAACCCAAAAGACAATATTGGAACTCAAATTAAATTCAATCAAGGCCACATAAACACTTTTTGTAATCTTTAAAAGTGCTGTGCAACTGATGTGACAGCAAAGCAGCTGGATGATATCTTTTTACTTAAATATACAGTGTGTAGCTCAAATTTAAGTTTACTATCAATATAGAGACCTAAAAATTTGTTTACCGTGTTAAATAAATGCCTTTATTGCCCAAAGTAATGTTTTAAATGTCAAATGATTAGCTTTGCAAAACTCTAAAAATTTTTATCAGATCAATACTAAATATCTTATTGAGTACCTTAGGATCCTTGTTTTGCCATAAAATTATGGTGTCATTTGCAAATATAGTAAACCGGCCATTAATATCGAGGTTAATTATGTCATTAAAATATATAAAGACAAAGATAGGAACCAAGAGTAGCGCACATTGATTGATACAGACTGGCATATATGTTCCAAGTAAAAACTGAAGTGAAGAACTAAAACAGTGCCTCTTAAATCATATCTTTCTAGTTTATTAAGAACTATTTTGTGATTGACAAAATCAAAGGCATTAGATAGATCACGGAAAACCTCAGCTGCAACATAATCTTTATTTAAGCCAAGATTAGTTATTCCGTGAATTCGAAGATGGCATCATATGTACTTTTTTATGACTGGAAACCAATTTGGAAGAAAGAAAGTAATTGCGTTTTTGTAAGAAAATCATTATTTGGATTTTTACCAATTTTTCTACAACCTTTGAAAGCGACGGTAACAAAGAGATAGAACAATTAGCACGTAAATTGTGGTCATCACTTTATGCGGAGGAATAACCTTAGCAAATTTTAAACAATCGCTAAAATGACCTGTTGAAAAAGACCTGTGGTAATTGCTATCGCTAAAACTCTCAGAAAATTATCAGGAAGATGGAATAAAACCTTAGATGGGATATCATCCCAGCCTGCAGCAATAAGATTTTTAATGCTTTGTATATTTTTTATTTCAGCCAAGTTAGTAGAAAGAACACAAAAGAAATTTGTAGGTCCCATTTCTTTTGTTTGCTATTGGCATTTTCCATTTTAGATTTAAAAGATATATATTTAGCGAATAATTTAGAGAAATACATCAAAAATTCATTATTGCACATTATACGTTTTTTAATGTAGTTTAACGATTGTTGTTTTTTTCCTGCAAAGTTGCAAAGAGCAAAAAATATTATGCCAATGTTTCTACGAACATAATTTGATAAACCTGTCAAAATTAAATGAAAATCCTACCCCATCTGGCTGTGTAAGGTGAATTCTTAAGGAGAAGTTCACATAGAATAGATAATCAATATTAAACTCGCCTGACAGGATAATAAAAGCATTCTGTGGAATTCTTTTAAGCAAGGATTCCAATATGTGAAAAAATAACTAAATAATAGACTAGAAAAGTATTAAGCTTCATACTGAAAGTTATAGAGAGCAATAAAATTCATATTCAATGTAGAGCTGGTTAAATTTATTGTAGTCAACAAAATTAAATTTGCACTGAAACTTCGTATTCATTTAAAATCAATGTTCCTCCACAGTTGCTTTCAGATCTGCAAAATTTGGATATTAAGGAGTTATTTTTAATACAAAGTGTAAATTTATATCTTCTTTTTCCTCCAATAAGTACCTTGATTTTATTTTCTAACTGCATAAGATTCATGGGTTAGTTAACATCACATTGTTTATCACAACAGACCATACGCGTGTCACATATTTTATTACATTTTAACTTGCTGTTAATGGCACCGGAAATATCACATTTTTTCCGCACATCACACATACCATAATTTTATTTTGCTTAGTATTACAATATATAAATGTTTTATTGTCAAATCTTCCCTCATCTATCTGAGAAGGAAGTGACGACACATTCGCTCCGTTCTCTATGTAATTTGATCATAATTGTTTCCCAATGATCATTGCATAGCTTTGTGCCCTCCAAAATTAATTGGCAGGACCCTGGTCTACCTGGCCTTTCGGCATACGACCGTTAGCGCTCCCACTGCCCCTACGAGTCCAACACCAATTGGAGGTGGCACGATGCCGAAACATCGTGGGGCTCCACCTCCTCCGTAGTACCTGTGTTACGGGTCACGCCACCCTTCCGTGAATCCTCCCCCCGGAGGCGGAAAGGCACGCAGGTGGTGGAATACCACCTCGCACGTAGACGTGCGGTTTGATCATTCCGAGGTGTGGTACGTGCCGAGTCTCCCGCTCCCCCTTCCGCGGTGTCAGCTTCCGGAGGTGCATACGTACCTGGCTCGTTCAACCACACCCGGCTCTTGTGGAAAATGAGAGTAGAGTGGTCCCACGAGGTGCTTGTCTCGGATACTAGGAATGTAGACCGGTGACTGAGATGACTAAGCATGTCTGTGCGTTTCTACCAACCTGACACCTCAAACGACGGCCCTCCACCTCTCATATCCGCCCATTAGTCGCCTCTTACGACAGGCAGGGTCTTCTGGCCCCGGCCGTATTCTTATCTCCTCGAGTCGGAAGGAAGGAGCCCAATGATCAGGGGAACTTTGTGAGATTTGAAGCGAAATAAAACGAATCGCCGAAACGTACAAGCACACACTGGTACATCATTTGATAATAATTGCCAGCCAGACAGTTTGTTTGTTTTCACATATAATCTCACAATATCGTTTATTAATTGAAAATCTATGAAATATGGATAGCGAAATGGTCAGATTTAATTGAAACGAAATATCACAACGTTTTTTTTTTCAAAATATTAAAGCCAAGATTATTTACAGGTATACACAAGTCCAAAACCATTTAACACAACTCCGTTGCAAGTAGAGCTTTTGGAAAAAGAGCTGACAGAATTAAAGTTACAAACGCAAGAAACCGATAGCAGGAATGCATATTTGTCGGCTATAGTTGATGAACAAAAAAAGTAAGTATTTTTTATGCATTTTTAAATGTTATAATTCCAATAAATCCATGTTTAATAATAAAATACAACTTAAAAAAGTAAGAATTGTGTAGAATCATACAGCTAAGAAAGAAACTATATCTGAAATGTATAATATCTATTATATCCACCTGGTCTTGCCTTCTTTGACGGTACTGTTCTGAAGCTATTTTCTAGAGGGAATTACTATTTTCCTTGGGAATAAGCTACAATATAATTTTCACTTCGGCAATCGTTCTCAAAATACAAAAATTAATAAATTAAACAAATTTTGTTTTTGGTTACTTGGCAAAAAATTCTTCTAATAATTTAATTATATCTTACTTATTCATATTGAAAATTTAGACATATATTATACATTTTAAAGTAGACGACTTTAAAATGATATTGCCAATATTGTTGAGTTGCGTTCCTGGAACGACTTTATTGTAAAAAAGTTCATTCGATTAAATGAAATCAGCTTAAACTTGAGAATACTCGTCAGAAAAAATCATAGCATGTGATCCGTCTTTAAAAAGAAAATCAAATGCAATAATAATAATAAAATTCTCCCGTTAGTGATTTCATAGTAAATCATGAGGAAAAAACAGAAAAAATCCTCATGGTACTATCGCGACATGATAAGTATTTGGTTTTATATTTAGCTTACTCTCAATAAATACCAAACTCTGATTTTATATGTACGTTTAACATAAATGATGTATCCCCGATATGTTATTGACTTACTAATAGTGGTATTTTCTTTTTGTTGATTTCTTCTTTTAATATGGGTAACCAGATCCTACGGCACTCTTTTGAGGAATTTGCAACGTAATTGGTATCATTTTGCATAATTGGAGCCTCTTCTTTGATTTTCTTTTTCACAATCTGTTTCTTTTAGGACAATACTTGACTCTTTCCATTGAACCCAATATTCATTTTCCATCATTGATGTTCACTTGTTTTACCATTTAATGGTCCTAAGTTATTCATTAGCTAAATAATGAATTCTATAAACAAAATTTTGATCTAGCAATTGGCTCTATTTTATATCCATTACTAGCTAATATATTTATTGAATATTTTGAAACAAATATTATTTCTAAACAAAATTTAAAACTCACAGTATGGTGGAGATATGTATATGATGTATTCTCAATATGGCCTCATGAATAAGAGTTGTTGGCCACATTCCTGAATGTATAAATGATAAAGAAGAGACAAAAACATTTACTATGGAAAAGAAATATAATAATAATAACACAATACCTTTCCTGTTTTCATTTTGAAGGAGGATACTGAATATAAGACTAAGGTGTATAGAAAACCAACACAAAGCAACATATATCTAAATTACAAATCCCAATCAAACCCCAATATCACTATTAAAAGGAAATCAGTTAATCTGTGTACAATTGAGCAAAATTAGGTGTTCTAACGAAAATTCATTCTTAGAGAAGGAACATTTGTTAACATCTGTTTTATTAAAAAGTGATTATACCTTGTCGTTTATAAGTAAGGAATTTTTAAGAATAGACTGTGAATAGAACTGAACAACTTAGAACGGGATCCTACAACATTCAGAAGAAATAAAACGAGGAAAATAACAATACCATATATAAAAGGATTATCGGAAAAACTTAAAACGACATAAAATAAATTCAACATTTCAACAACATTCAAAACAACAAACACATTGAAATCTATTTTATCTAAAACTAAACCTGACAGTGAACAAGAAAGAACAAAGAATTGTATTTATAAAATACCTTGTGAATGCGAATATTTTAATTTAGGTAAAACATCAAGACTATTTATTATTAAAATAAGTGAACATCAATCAAAATAGAGAAATTGATAGATCTCAAATATGTAAACAAGCATGGGAAAACAATAATAGGGTTTAATGGAAACATTCAAGTATAGACCTGAAAAAACAGATGGTAAAAACAAAAAATCAATGAAACGGCTCTAATTATATGCCAAATTATACAAATTGCGTAACAAATTCCTAGGCAGAAGGCAGTAGGATCTGGTTAGTCATAATAAACGAGGAAATCAATAAGAATAAAATACCTTTATTAGTAAGTCAATAAAATACCGATGATACATCATTTAAATAAAATTTTACTGTCAGCATTGCATGTGGTTTTTTTTAAAGACGGATTACATACTATGATTTTTTCTGACTGATATTCTCAAGTTAAAGTTAATTTAATGTAATCGAATGGACTATCTTACTATAAAGTCGTCCCAGCAAGGCAACTCAACAATATTGGCAATATCATTTTAAAGTCGTCTACTTTAAAATGTATAAAATATGTCTGAATTTTCAATATGAATGAGTTAGGTAAAATTAAATTATTAGAAGAATTTTCACCAAGTAACAAAAAATAAAATTTAATAATGATTTTGAGAACGATTTCCGATAAAACGTAAAAAATAAACTTATTTTAAATTTATATTGCGGCTTATTTCCAACGAAAGTAGTACTTCTTTGATGGTCTCCCAGTATTTAGAGTAGCTCCCGCAGCCTTTTTCTTCCTAAGAAGTTCATATATTTAGAGACTTTCAGTGAGTTAATTTCTCTTCTCTTACCTCATGTTCGCAGATAACGTGCTATGGAGTTCCTTACGGCTTTTAGTTTAGGAGTATAAATAAAAAGGCAATTCACAGAATCTGTATTATTTCATATCTACTACCATGTTTTAAGGTTCTTTATCAGTCAATAACAGCCTGTGAGTATTTTCGTCAAACTATAACTATACTATACTACGTACTATAACTATAATACGTCTTTTTCTTCAACGAATGCAATATTTAAATCTTTCCTGCTTATAGTTCCCTACAAGTATTTTTAATTTTCTCATTCCGCAAACAGTCCCATATCATTCTGGAGCTAATCATATGCGATTTTAGTGCTTTGATGCCTGCTTGAGTGTCGGGCATTAGTACAATCTTTTGTTCCTGATATTGGTTTTATAGTTTAACTGTGCACATCTTTAAACCCTCAATTTTAGATTGAAAAGTGCTTGAAATTTTTCTCACGCTTTCTGAATGGTTAGCTTTAGGCCCTTACATGTCTATACTAGTTCCTTCTGCCGCTTTAGAGCAATCTCTATACCACTTTATGGCATTCTTGTTTAGCCTAGAAATAGTACCTTTATCGCATTAGTTTTTACAAGTTAACTTGTGTTTGTCTACTACACTCTACTACTCTTCTCTCGACTAAGGGAGTAAACCCCTTATATATATATATATATATATATATATATATATATATATATATATATATATTGATAAAAAAAGACTTAAAGGAAACCTGAAAAGCTGGGAGCAGATCAATGAGAGAATTATTAGAGTATCTATTACGTGGAAAGGGCACGACCTTGAGATTATTGGAATATATGCTCCGTCATAAAATACATCAAAAGCAGTCAAACAAATATTCTACGAAACTTTATCGGAACTCATTGAAAATATAAATAGCCGCAAAGAAATTGTGCTGTTGGGAGATTTTAATGCTTGGACAGGAACAAAAATAAATGACAAAGTCGTAGGAAAATATGGTGACGCTAAAACAAATAAAAATTGGGAACACTTAATCGAATTCTGTGAACAGCACTCTCTGAAAATCCTAAACGGATTCTACCAACATAAAAACATACATAAGTGCACCTGGGTTCAATCAACGAGAAACACAAAGTCAATTATAGATTATGTCATCACAAAACAAGAAATACACATACAAGGTGAAGACATAAGAGTATTAAGAGGACTGGAGTGCGGAACTGACTACTATATGGTAAGATCAAAATGTTACCTACAGTATTAACCTCGGCTACTACATCAAAATGACAACCAACTAGCTCAATCAAAATCCCTGGAATCGAATCTACCTAAATAAAATATTGATGCACTGCAAAACGACTCGACATCATTCTTATATAAGCTGCGACTTAGCCAAAAATTGGCAAACCTGATCTACTCCTCAGCCCAGAATACCTATAAAGAGATAATCAATAAAATCAATTAAGCAGCTTACGAAGCGCTCGGCACAATCCAAAATAACAAAAAGAATACTCCATTGTGGTGGACAAATGACATCGCCAATGCAGTACACAACAAGAAACAAGCATATCAGAAGTGGCTGCAAACAAATGATCCAGATAATAGACGAACATATGCAAGATCAAACAGAGAAGTAAAAAATTTAGTAACTAAAGCAAAAAATATTTCCTGGGAAAGTAAATGCGAAGAACTCAACAAATATACACAATCGAAGCCAAAAGACTTAACTGGTATGAACACCTTCAGAGAATGCCGGAAAACAGATGGCCAAAAAAAATAGATCAATGGACTCCGCCAACTAGAAGAAAACGAGGTAGACCAAGACGACCCTGGAGAGACGATGTCGACGATGCAATGACCACCAGAGATCTAACAACTGAAGATTGCTTCGACAGAAAACGCTGGAAATTAGGATGCGAGAAGCGGCGCCAGCTGTAGAAAACTCGCTTATTATTATATATATACTTGCGTTTGTAATAAATACATTCAGAAAATTAAACTTCTTAGGCATGCCATCTCGACACATTCCACAATACTGATTTTCATTAAAGTTAAATTCTACATTGAGTTTAATGATTATGGTATTGGTCCTCCTATATATGGTCTTCTCTAAGATATGTAGGGGTGAGATCAGGTATTAGATCTGTAGGAGCCATTCTATATATTCTTATTGCTCCTATAATGTATATATAAGCTAGTCTTTAAAGGTTCTCGAGATTGTTTCTCCTGTTATTGTCGTGTTTAGATGCGCTCTTCTTTCTCAAGTCAATACCCTGTAAGTAATGGTTGGTTTTACTATTGCCGTGTACATCCACATCAGTTAGAATTTTTAGGTTAGGACCGAAATTTTTCCTTATAAAGTTTCTATACACTATTGTACTTTGAATGACTTGCTGATCATTTCTTTGTCATTTTTGTCTTAGATAACTTTATCATTTAGGATAATGCCTAGATAAAGCTTAACTTTACTTTTTATTGTTAATGCAGTGAATGTGGTTTTCTATTGTTCACCCTGATTATGGATAAAATAATAAAAAGTAAGAACTAAAAAGGATCCCAAATCCAAATGTGAATCCAATATCAAAAAGTAAAGATGATTTATAACGTATGCTGCACCATTTTAATGTAATCGCCAGAAAATTTTTAATGGCGTTTTAATTTTTTTAATTTTTAAAATATTAATTTCTCCAAAAAAATGCATGGTTGTAAAAGTATATTTCTTAAGCTGTAAATTGGAGCTGGAAGTTCAGATAGTAAAACAAGTAATGGAGTTTAAATATCTAGGCATCACATTATCTAGCTACGTAAAGCTCGAAACAGAAGTAAAAGATCAAGTGAATCGAGCAAACAGAGCCGCAGGTTTCCTGAGTGAAACAATACGGAGAACTAAAATATCAGGAAGGAAATGAAAGGCAGAATTATTTAGAAAACAGTCATCGGACCAATAATGACATACGCGGCAGAAACACAACTTGACACAGACAGGACAAAAATTATGTTGGAAACAGCAGAGATAAAAACACTTAGAAAAATTGATAGTAAAACACTATGGGACAGAGCTAGAAGTACAGATATACGACGTAGATGCCACGTGGAGAACATCAAGGACTAGGTAAGAAATAGAAGAGTAGAATGAAGCCATTATATAAGTCGAATAACAACTATTAGAGTAGTAAAGACGGCAAGAGACGGTTCCTCAATAGAAAGATGATTAGTAGGAAGACCATGTAAACGATGAAACGAGTAAACTTACTGGAGGTACATTGAAAAAACAAAAAGAGTTATGTCTGCATTAAAAGAAAAAGAAGATTCTTTTGTATAATATATATGTGTATAAATTAGTACTTTCTAATTTTTGTCACAGAAGATGTTTCTGACGATATCATCGGAATATCCTTAGCAGGATATGCAAGGTTGGACAAATTGCATAGAAGTTGGTCTGCTACTAGGCCTACATAAGTGGGGATGCAATTCTTCCGTATAGCTGCTTCTAATACGTAAGGTGGAAATGTTTTGTCTATTTCAATTTCTTATACTCATGTAAAAAGTACTATTTCTCTCCATTGATGTAGTTCTCTTATGACTAAATGCATTGTTATTAAATGTTTTTTCTATATCTAGAAAGGTCCATATATCTACATCTTTTTAGTCACTTTTTGCACCAATGTTTCTATTGACTTTTTCGCTTGATACCCATACTGACAGGAGTGAAATGGTTTATATATCAGAATTTATGATCTGAAATAATTATTAATAGTTTTTTTCATCATTTTCAAAGCAAATGATATGAGGCAGATCGATTTTAGGTTTAGGTAGATAGATTAGAACCTATTTAAAATCATAAACTATTATCCAAGCCGAAATGTCACGCATATTCCTTACAGGACTCAAAACAGATCAAAGAAAATGCTCTTTTTGTCATTTAAAAACGCTACATTTGCTTATTTAATTCTAGGTTTCTCCATTCTTATCCTATTCATATTTTTTCCATGAAAATTCCTTGTGGTTACAAGTATCTGATAGATACAATAAAAATCACACCATTTTGTAATTACGTGAAAGGGTTCAGTTCGAACAGTTGTGGCCAATTTAACAGGGTTTTATTAGTTTTATTTGTTTACCAAAAATAAGTCTGACTATAATTAAGTTTCTATAATTAAATATTTGTTCATGAGATTATATATGTATCTACGTAAACATTTCAGTGAGTAATATTTTTGTAGGAACATATTAAAACACATATTTTAATTTGTCAATCAAAACAGGGATTTTTGTCAATGTCACGGAGTGAAATCATGGAGTTTCATTGAGTTTTTAATTGAATAATCCTAATTGCAACTTTAGATTGGACCCGTCTGAGAGGGTCCAAGTGTCTGAAGGGCTCATAAATGGGCCCTGCTCCGATCTAGCATAATTTTAGATTATTTCCTCTGTTTTTATCTTGCTGTTTTTTTCTTGATAATTTACCTGTTATTGTTAATTTGTATGTTTAACTACAAAATCAAATCAAATACTAAATTTTAAAAATAACCCTTGAATATTGTTATAACATTGCCTATTTGTTGTAGAAAATTAGAACGCTATGAACGTGACAGGGAAAAAGAACGCGAAAGAGCTGTTCAACCAGACCCCGAACTTCTTCGAAAATTGGACGACGCTGAAGCGATCATTCGACGACTGCGCAGAGAAAATTCTGATCTAAGAAGAGAACATGCTGAACATTGCTCCCAGCGTGATGGCTCTTATCCGCAACAAAGAAGTGCAGAAAATGGATACACTTCTCCCAGAAATGGCCATGGGCAGCATTCAGGAAGAGGTAATGGAGGGCGGCAGAGGGGAAATAGTGGACACTATAGAGGAAATTGGTTTCCTCCCTTACATTCACAGAGTTACTGGCAAAGTAAGTATTACTATCGGTGTGATGTGGCGGGCCAGCGCAGTCATTCACGGTCCTAGAGATTTCGTGGTTTAAATCTAGGCGTGGGCCAAAAACCAAAAAGCTTAATGTAGTAGTTTAAACTCCAAAATTATCTGCGACTTGAATTATCGGATCGGCCGATGGATAAGTATGGTATGAGATGCAAAATTACTACCCAGTGTTACTCATATCATTTATTCTCGTCGAAAAGCGTTGAGATGCTTGATAACCAGAAAAAACACACTCCGAAATATTAAAGAAGAACAGTTTTTCTACTATTAATAATAGGATAATATACTAGCCATGTCATGAGATCACAAATTATTAAACACCATTTACATATTTTTCTAAAATTATAATATATATGACAAATTTACTTACTTTCGCCGTTTTAGAGTAATATTTATTATAAATAATATTCGTTAAAGGCATTTGCAAATAAACAAGACAGTCTAGTGTATTTAATAAGATAACGAGTATGTCTAGCCAGTCACATAGGTCGACACATGGTTGAGACCCTAGTACCAAACACTGTCTTTGCATTAAATTCCTCAGAGAATTCTTGTGCTTCTGATCCTGTGCCTGTGATAAAAGCAAGTATCTTTGGTATCTAGTATGCCCATAATTACCTTATATCCCCTAAAATTTAACCTCTAAATCTTTTAAAAAAGCCAGAGCCGCCTTTTATAAATTAAAGAAAAATCTCAACACAGATATTACATTAAACAGATTAATACGCAGCTACATATTCTCCACATTGCTGTATGGCATGGAGAGCTAGACTCTTACAGGAACACTAATGACAAAATTGAGGGTTGATGGAATATGAAATTAAATGGTTTTACACCGAATAAAAAAGAGCACAGAAATAACAAAAACAATAAAAATTAGAAGGTTACAATATTTCGGCCATGTAATGAGACATCCAGAGAGGTATAACCTTCTACAGCTCGTAATACAGAGCAATATCGCTGTAAAAAGAGGCCCAGATCGGAAAAGAACATCCTGGCTCCGAAATTTCTGAGAGTGGTATCAAGAGAGTTCCTCGAATCTGTTTCGAGTTGCCGCAAACAAAGTTATTATTGCCAATATGATTAATAACGTTCGATAAACGAGCAGTGTACTGAAAGAAAAAGAAGAATCTTTTGGATGCTCAGCTTATAACCATGACGTTTTTTTCACTTGTATTTTTTAGATTTCGTGCGATGAAGTGGTTATCGAATGCATTGCTTCATTATTATTCCAGCTTGCATTCTTTCAATTTAACTACATAATAACACCAACGATGAAGTTAGTAAAAGGGGTTCAAGTACAAATGCCACAATCAAATTTCTACTTGTCTTTGCAAGGTACGCCAGCATCTGTTTGAAACTAGGAATTTCTTCAGTTTAATAAACTTTTACTCTATTTTTTATTTAAGAAAATTCTTTGTGATATTTAATGGCTCTTGTTCAGCAAATATAAACTTAAAGCACTTGTCCATGAGTCGATTTTTAAGCAGGCAGCATATTGAGCTTTATCGGTCATCTTTTATGAATCATAATTCATTTTATCTTTCATTGTATTCTTAATCCCCATTAAAGCTTTTTGTAAAGAAATTGTACCTCTTCTCTTTTTTTATTTTTTTTCTACTTCTGAAAAACTTCTGGTAAATGCATTACACGTAGCCGCCTGTATCAGACCAGTTCCTCTCTTATTGATATGCTGAGGAGGGAGGTTTAGTAGGGCTTCCATAGCAGTATTGCGGCTCCAACAAATCTTTTGTAATTTCTGCTAATAGGTAATATCCGGCCTAGGCTTTCCTACAAAATAAAACCGACTAAACATACTATTTGCTAAATTCCACCATGGACGGGGGTGGATGCGATTATAGGTATTTCTGCTCTTTTATCTGCGATCACTGGCTAACTGTATGGGAAGTCGTGCGTTACTTTTCCTGAAACTGCTAGAGGTTTTTTACTATTATTAATAGAGACAAAATAGAAATCGGGACATATCCTCGCCTTCATATTGCTAACATAAAAGAAGGTTGATCTTAAGCATCAAAATTAAGTAAGAGATGTTGGTTTTCTGCCAATTTTACTAGTGCGTTCCCATTGTCGTTGCAGTTTTTATATTTACATTATTCATGGTAGCTATTGTAGTCTCCTACGTACTTATAAGTATAAACGAATGATGTCGTGAGAGTGAATGTGGACGGCTTGGACTGGCCAGAATATAACTGGTGGTCCACATACTGGCCAGTTTGTAGGTGTTAGTAACAGTGATGCTTCCAGTTTTTACGTTATGAATTTTGTATCGTTCGAAAATGTAAAATTAAGGACAGCTGGTTCAAGATGGACAAGAAATTATAATGGCGATCTTACCACCATTTAAAGCAGATTAACAATTTATTAAATTAAAGATCGAAGAATTTTATCTTACATGTTAATACCTACGATTCCACTAGTCCGCCTCGAAACACAAACACAAAAACGTTGTCTTTCATACTAATCAACTTAATTAACTATGTAATAATAAGCGGTATTTGCTAAGGAGTAAATTTTAAAATATATTTTACAAAATAAATAAGCGAGAATTGGTACTCTAAGCAAAGTAAATCTAAGTTTAACACTTGGTAGCACCAAAAACATGATAGTAGTAGAAACAAGATTTTGCCATAAAATGATACACAAAGAAACATGGGAATCACCTGACAATGAAACCGTTAACCAGCTGTTCATATCCTAATAGATGCAGGGCATTCTTCTGACCTCATGGATGTCAGAAGCTACCGAAGTCCAAATATACATAGCGACCACTTTTTTGTAACGGCAAAAATCAGACGAAGAATATAAAACCTAAAGAAGTATAAACATATAAAACAAGACAGAATTCATGTTAATAATCTACGCATTGAAACCGTTACAAGAGAGTATAGGAGAGAAATGGATGAAAAATAGAGAACCTCGAAGTGGGGAAAAATATGAAGAAATTGTGGACAAAAAGTAGAAACATAATAACTGAGAAGGCATCTAAAATATTCGGGAAAACCAAACCAGTTAAACAAAATGACTGTTTTGACGAGGAGTGCCAAGAAGCAAAAGGTAACAAAAATAGAGCATACCTAAAGAGAAATCAGGCTAGATACACAATAAGAGCAAAGGAGAAATACCGGTCCCTATGAAGGGAAATTAAATATTAGATAGAAAAAAAAGGCAAGCAATACGACTTCAATCTTGAACTGATGGGTGGAATTTTTACGCAAAATTTAACGATCATTATATCGAAGAAGCGGATAACACCGTAGCAGATCGAAGTGATTGGAATCTATTTAACTCAAATAAAAGACTGATTAAATTTGTAGTAAGTACTACATAAACGTTTCCTTATTTCTGACAAAATGAGACCAAGTCCTGTGACAAGGCGTGATGTGCCCGTTACATCAAAAAGGCTATCAGATCCAGTGTGCCAACTACAGAGGTATAACCCTGTTAACAACTGTTTACAAAATACTAGCAAATATTCTACGCCAATATTCTTAACGAAAGGCCACAAGTTTACACAGTTGACACAGTTGAAAAATACCAAGTCAGATTTACTTCAGAAAAATCAACAATTGACCAGATTCATTCAAGAAGATAGATCTTCGAGAAAACATTAGAATTTAATATTGAAACCCATCACCTATTCGTCGACTTCAAGGCCTCATACGACAATGTCAAGATAACAGTACTATATCAATCAATGCATGAGTTTGGTATACCAGAAAAACTTCCGATTAACGATAATGACAATATCTAACTTAAAAGCCAGCGTTAGGATACAGGAGGAATTGGAAACAGCGGCGAAACAGGTCAGTCTGGTCATCAACGTAGATAAAACCAAGTACATGTTGGTTAATAAGGATTATATAGCAAATAAGTAAAGGAAACAGTCTTTGGAAGTCCTATCTTTGAACGTGTTGACAGCTGATGTCAACACGTTCAGCTGATCGTGTTGTCGCTAGTAACTACTACCAACAAAACAACAAAGAAATTAAAAGGCGAATAAACCTTACAAATGGGGCATACTATGGACTCTAAAAACGATTCCACTTAAGATATATTTAAAGAAGAACTAAAATTATTATGTATAAAACACTGCTGTGGGCTGTGGCCTGTCCTCACCTATGTGATGGAAACATGGGCTCTAATGCAGAAGGTTAAAATACTTCTGGAAATATTCGAGCGTAAGATACTCCGGAAACTCTTCGGAGCTATAAACGATCAAGGGCAGTGGCGCAAAAGAAACTCTTTAATGAACCAGACGTCGTAACATTCATTAAAACACAGCGACTTAGATGGGCTGGACACATAATATGAATGCCTGACAATACGATTGCTAAGAAGCTAACAGGAACACCTATAGGAAGAAGAAGCAGAGGCTGACCGCGAATTAGGTGGTTAGATAGAGTTAAGACCGACTTAGGGATATTAGATATTAAAAGATGGCAACACGTTGCCAGAAACCAACCAGAATAGCGCCGAATTTTGAGCAGGCCAGGATGCACAGTGGATTGTTGAACCAAAGATGATGATGATGTTCACATTTTGTGGTGTCTTAAGTTAGTACTCTTAACTAAATGCTTATCATATTCGGGGTTCAGTGACAACTACCCGGTAGGATTATTATGGGAAAAATAGAAGGGCATAGCAAACACTTTAAGAATTTTCTTACAGAAATTTATCAAACGGCGTTTCCTATATCTTGTTTAACGTACGTTGCTGCCCCGTATGATCGATGATACGTGAAATCCAGTAGTTCAAAGCCCAATGCTTTTCTCCTTTTTTATGGTTTTTCTTTGATTTTCAATATTATCTAATGGCATACTCTACATTGACTTTATATTCAGGAGATCCTAAGATTATATGACCGCTCATAGGTGCAACTAGCTTTACACCCCCTTATTTAAACTAAACCGCGAGGAACTGGAGCAACATTTAATGTTAGGAGAGAGTACTCAGCCTACAAAGTTGCACAAAAGTTTGTAAATTTTACTTCACACAACTTGAGTTGAAAAAAGGGTAAATTTTGATGTTTTGATTTTCACTTCGGAAAGTGTTCTCAAAGTAAAAACGTTCTTAAAAACAATTTGGAAATTGAAACGTCAAATAAATGTATTTTTAACTAAAATTGTAGTAAATTCCCATTCAAAGATAGATTCAATGAGGGAGGTGAGTTTTGGCCTATTCCACTGTAACCTTTTCAGATCTATTGTGGTCCTCTAGCCTTAGATTACATTATCTAATCTGACCCTTTTTAAAATGTTTAATAACTTTGAGATTGAACTTTCTTTGTAGCTCTTTGCCGATGGCTTTTCTTCGCCTAATGCAAAGAACCGCACACTTGTAAGTCTGTCTTACCGAAATAAAATGTATTCTGCTGTTTCTTCTTTTAGGTGACAGAATCTGCATAGGTTATTATCTGCCAATCCTATTAGCTTTACCTGCTTATTCAGCTTACAGTGCCCTGTTAGCAGAGCTACTATGGCTTTGACTGTTTACTAGGTCACTGTAAATTTTGGCGAATGTTCTGTGGTAAACTGTTTCGCCTGTATTTATATTAATATTAATAATAATAATAATTAATATAAAAATTCCACAAGAAAATAGCTTTAGAAGCAGTCTCATGTATATCCAAAACATCAAACAATGTGGAAACTCTTTCAACGTCAATATAGTATACACTATATAAGTCTGCATGTATAAGTCAATGTAGTTTAAAAAAGTTTAGATGGTATCAATTTACCGGCGTGTATTTAATTGCTTCCATAAACATTGATTTATTCAAAACTGCATATATTACACGAATTTCTTGCATAATATTATTTAATAAATATACATAAAGAAATAAATTAATTTGTATTGTAGGTGGCAGAAATCACGATAGATCAATGTCTGGAGAGCAGAGTGGAGGACTTCCTAGCCTCCAAGGTAATGAAGGTCATTATCAAAGCAGAAGAGGCTCCAATAACAACCATTACAACAATGGGGAAAATCGGAAATACAGGGGTGGGCAGAAAAATGGCAAACAGACGTAATTAGAGTACTATTAGATTTCTAATAGATGCTTTTAAAGGCTGTCATATTTTTTAATATTTTAAAAATAAATGTTTACTAGAAAAACTTATCCCAGGTGCAAAAAGTTATGGTAATGGTAAATATGAATAAATAAATGCATGTACATGCATTTTCATGGAATTTCAAATAATGATTTTAAGCTACTTAGTTTTCTTATGAATAAATTTTCTTGTACACTAAAGCCCAGTTGAAATAGACCAATAATAATATTATTTATTTCATATCATGCAATAAAGGAAACTTGGGAAATATGTTATTAAATATATATTAATAAATACTTTTTTATATTTATGTCGGACCTATATCATACAGTTAGAATAGTTATAATTTAATTTTGTGTTCAACAAATCATCTTTTAAGTTTTTAAAAATTTGCCATAAATAACTTTACTTTTTTCATCTGGGAAGTAAATTATAGATCAAATAAAATGTTCAATATTAAATCCAAAATTATTGCGTATTACAAAAAAAATCATTATGTTTACAATATGCATCATATGAAAATAAATATTTTTAGATCTTATAAATATTTCTAAAGGTATAATATTTATGTAATTTAATTTAGAAGTTAATAACTTTTAGATGACTTATTTATTTGATAATATTGTTGTTTTATTTACTCTGATTTTTTCTGATCTTTCTCTGATCTTGATCTCTCTAACAGGTGTTAAATATGAGCAAACCTACGATTCTTTTATCCTGTTTGTGGGATTTTATTGTCTGTTATTAAACCATACGATCATACCCACCAACCATACCCATCATTCAATTTATACGAATTAAATCAAAGAGCTCGATGTAAGACTGGATGTAAGATTGGATGGATTTGAAAGGATAGAATTATTCTATTTTCCTTTTTTTTACCAAAAAATAATTGAATAATCTAAATCATCCATTTCCTCTCTCAAATTAAAAGTATTTATACGCATTTAGCACAAGTTACAAGTTGGAATGTAATGGTTATTCCAGAAATATTTTAAAAATAATACCATTCCTTTTAACAAAGTCGTACTCAGATTTAAATAATAGGAGAATTAGTTTGTAAACAAAAGCAATGTCACAACAATGTTAAAACACAAAATTTTGGGTACTTAAAACTAGAAGGAGGCGTATAAAAAATGATTCGTAAATACGTTATAAAGATGCGAAGAACCAGCATACAGAGTATACATAATTGTAATATGTGAATCTTAAATAAATTTTTTTCAAAAAGGAAATATATTTTGTTCAACTTTAAGTACACAAAATGCGAGAAATCTTTAGATATGATATCTCCTAGTATATACTAGGTAATACCAATATCAATTATATTCATAACCTTCTAATGGGAATTTTACAATACTCATTTATTCTTCAGATTGTGTAATTCTCATTTTAAAATTGAATATGCTTACTAATCTCTTTTAGTTCTTATAGTGGTCTGTTATATTTAATCCAGCTTAGATATATGCTAGAGACTAAGAGATGCTAGAGATATATGCTGAGACTAAGATGGACAGGAAACCTCTGAAAGGCAAATAAAAACTACCACAGCAGACGAACTCTGAAATCATAATAGTCATCTTCTTACTAGATTATATATCTCAACTAGTAGACTACTAATCTACTGGTATACTTTTATAAAATAAAGTATAAAAAAACAAGTGACCCATATTGTAAACATTTTGATTTTTATAAAAACGAACTATTATCTATATGCGCTTATCAATGTTAAACTTTAGATAAACTGTAGCGACTGAAAGGTGCCAAATGGACCAATTTCTTTTCTAATGTTAACAAATTAAATACATTTTAATATAATAAATCACATATTTGGAAAAGTTTTTTTTTTTCAAAAAGTTACTAAACCATCGGGAATAATTTAAATTTGTGGAATTTCTAAAATAATTGAATTTAAAAACCTTTTTCCTAGTAATATTTTTGTATTCCAATATGTTAAGAAACAACTGATGTTAAAAAACTTCTTAATTTATATTGAGATATAAAAAATGTAAAAATAATAATAATCATAAAATAATGAGCTCAATAGGCAAGTCTTAGAATTAAGTGATTCATTTAGAGAGATAATTATTCTAAAAAGTTCTACTATCATGAAAATACCGAATTTTGTAGTAAATATATCTATCATATAAATAATATATAAATATAAAAGTGGGAAAATAGATAAAAATCATGAAAAAAAGTAGTTCTAATTTCATGAAAATATAGGCTTATTTAAAGAAAGGCGGAAGAAGAGAATGGAATTATATCTGACAAATAATTTCTTGCTTGATTTCTGTTGTAGTTGTAATTCAAAATTATTATATTACATCTGTTTTATTTACCATTCTATTCCTTGCTTTGTGTAGCTCTAATTTAAAGTTTTATTTTGGAGTTAGAAGAGATGGGTACTAAGAATTCTGATACTGACAAGTTTTATTGAAATTTAGTTATTAATGCGATAATTTCATCTATGGTATGTATAACTATTCATGCTATATTTTACTTAACTATATGTATATAACTACCTAAATTTCATAATATTTCACTTCCGTTATCCTGGTATATTTATTTTATAAATGGTTATCAGAAGATTTATTTCCTTATCCATATCATTAATGGTTGTAGTCGTCCCATTCTAAAATCCTTTTAAAATAATTTTTTATTGTTCATCTAATATGCAATTTGACGGAAGAACATTCCGAAGTAAAGGGAAAGGTACTTTTTTCAACAAGAAAAAACAATGAAAAAAATAAATTTTACTTGAAAATATTTATTATCATACAAAATAACCATTCTTTACAATTACTTCTTAAAGATAATTTCTTTTAAATGTTGGCCATGACTACGATTAAGTTGAAATCGTTCTCCTACTAAAGCCATGCTTTCACAGGCTGTATGGAAAGTGGCTCATTCATAGTAACATTCTGGCCGGCCTCTGTATTAAAAAAATATGAACCAACGATTCCACCAGCCCATAAACCACACCTAACAGTTGTTTTTTTAACCAAAGCTATAATGGCAACTCTTGAACCTCTTTGAGTTGTTTATCGCCTCAAATACGGGCATTTTCAGCCCATCGACTGAAACGGTGACGACTCGGAAGGTCAGTCAGCTTCAGCTCCTACACTTATTGAATTTTGTATGCTTTTAAAACAAAATCCTTACATAAAATTTGCCAATTTGTTGTATATGATAAGATGTTGAGAACGGTGACGAATCGATTCTTCATTATTTTCGAGTACACTATCCTTTACCGCCGCTATATTTTCTTCACTACGTGCTAAATGTGGTCTATTTGGTCGCGTGTTATCCAATAATGAAAACTGGGTTTCAAACTTACTAATCGTAAAGCGAATTGTACGAATTGCACGAAACACATTCCTCACAGAACTCCCATTTTCAAAATACAACTTAATAATTTCTAAACGCTGTGTCGGGCAAAGTCTTTCTATCATGAAATGTCAAATAATACAGAACAAACGCGAAATGTCAGTTTGACAGTATTCATGCACGATCTCTAATCAAATCCCCACTAAAAAAGTACCTCTGAATGAATCACCCTTTAGTAGTATTCTCCTCCAAACGAAGTTTAATATGTTTGTGGCTTACGGTTGGGAAAGCCTCCTCTTACATCAGATGTGATAACTAATGTCCTACTGGGAACACATAGATGTTTAAATATGTCCTTTAAACCAAAACAATAATTTTAATGTTTATCGTTAGAGTGCTTAGGTATTTTGTTATTTTTTATTAATCGAATGTAGATAATACATCGAAACAGTCATTCAATGTCTCACTAAAAATGGTTAAACACAAAAAAGAAAATATAAATAAATTGTAGATTTGTAGGTTTTTTTCCTTAGAGAAATTAAATTTTAATAATCATATAGAATATAGATCTTTGCTATTCCTACACAAAAGCAATTGTTTACATTTTATTACTTTATGGTTTGGTAACCCTATGAAAAACAAACACACTGGGTTTATGTCAAAACTAATAATCACGCTACATATAAATAAACACATAATTTTGGAAAATAAAAATATTGAAATTATTTGAATATGTTGTACTGAAGCATGTCTATATTATTGACTAAAATAATGGTTATATTAAGTTTTTTATTCTTTTTATTATTTCCGTTTTTCCTACTTATAATATAGTATTATTCATGTGATATAAAAGATTTAAGGAGATATCGCTCTTAAATTATGATATTTATTTAATGGATCAGTCTCCAGAAGAGCATATTAACAAAAATGTTAGTTTATTGTGCAATATCAATTTGTTATAAAAAATATTTACGTAATTTCATTTTATTATCATGTTTCGACGAATTTAACTTGAAACATGAATAATATGTTTTCCTTATAAATAATAAATTTTTTTAATATCTTTTCACAATGTTCATACAAATATTTTTTAAGATTTTTACGCAAACTAAATAAAGAAAATGGCATCTTTATCTAAAATTCTACATGTATGGTAAAAATTACAAAGGACATCTTAAAATGAAAACTTGCTGAAACGAATCATCTTAATTTTCACTAAACTCACTACAAATATTTCGAAGACACATTATGCATGCTGGATCAAAATAATGTCGTCTATGTATACCTTTCTTCGAAATGTTTAATATTATTGCAGATCTTGGACCTGTACAAACAAATTCACAAAGGATGTTGACGATACAATACAATACCTAACTTCGTCAATCAAAAATCTGCCTGTGCTGTTCTTCCAGAAAGGTCTTATAAAGAAAAACAAGGCTCATATCCGGAATATATAATTAATATAATATAATAATAATTAAAAAAAAATAAACTAAGAAAAAATTGGCAAAGTACTCGAGCCACAATAGAAAAAATATTTTTAAACAGAACAACACGACAACTACTCTAAAGTCTAAACTTTATAAGCACTAAACGACTGCAAAGACGCTGGTATTAAATATTTCTTGTAAAACCTTTTTATAAGTGAAAATAAAGGCTACTCACTATGGAAGCTGACAATGAAACTGAAATCCCAACAAAAAACTTAGACTCCTATAAGAAAATATTATGATAGCTGGGTTCGTAGTGATAACTCCAAAGATGACGACAAAGCAAGCACTTTTGGGAAACGTCATATGTGTGTATTCTAAATTCACGAAAAAACCATTTTAAGTAATACTGGACGCCATATCATGAGTCCACCCATCAAAAAAATAAAAATTTGTGAAATCGCAGCCTTTATT